ACAAATCAAAGGTTAGGGTAAAACGCGCAAAAATTTGAAAGGTTTGGGACCGCAGCTGCAATTATCCCTAAAAATTATAATCTAGATTTTTATTAAAATTAAAGTCAACAATTAATTTTAATAATATATTTTCCTGAAATTTATAACATTTCAACCACATATTTTATTAAATTTTATTAACATCTGCTAAAAATATGATTTTAATCTTCACAAAATAGGGGCTGAAAAACAATTTAAAAGAAAAAATAGAAAAATAAAATATCATACCAAAAGAACTTGGCGCGCAAAAACCCTTCGAATAACCCGACCCGTTTAGGGTTTTGCAAATTAGCTTATCCCCCTTCACTTTCCCTAACTCTCCACTTACCTTTTCTTCTTTCAATTTCATGGCATGAGCCCGTATTGCATTCGTTTCGGACCCCCAATAATCACTTCTCAACCAAAACCCAGATCCATGGCTCTGAGTACCGGATTTCGCTTGCTCCGCTGCTGTGGCTCTCACCATCCTCTCAGCTTCAGCATGTCTCTCGGAGTCGGTGCTCCGACCCGGATGCTCCATAAACGGGTATCTGAGCTCAGGGTCCTCTCCGTCGTGGGCCCACATCGTCAGAGTAGGTTATCAGTAAAAGCTTCGAGGCGGAGGGAAGAGGAAATAGATGGAGACGATGGAAATGGGAGCGTGATGACTGTGAGAGATAAAGGTGGAAGTGGGGGCGGAGGTGATGGCAGGGTTGTAATTTCTGAGCTGCACAAGGAGGCCACTGAAGCTTACATGGCTTATGCCATGTCTGTGCTCCTGGGCCGAGCTTTGCCGGACGTTAGAGACGGGCTAAAGCCTGTCCACCGGAGAATACTGTGAGTAATTTATTTATTTTTAAGTATCTGTTGTTCCTGAGACAATGTGAGAAAATTAATAAATGTTGGTACCTAAATTATGGAGGTTCCAGAATCATTGGTTGGAGCAGGCCTGCAATAATGATTGTAAAGGAAATAGTGAAGAAATTGGGCAGAAGAGAATGTTTGGAGTTTTTTTAAACAGTTTTGAGATTAATCTATTTGTTTAAGGTGATCCCGCTGGCTCAATGTTTAACGAGAATAATAACAATCCCATGTCTAACCAGATTTACATTATATGATAGTAATCTTTTGTCATTCTTCTGTTGTTTAATCTTTATTGTTTATAATCGTCATTTTTTAAAACTTTTTTATCACAACTAGACAAATATATGATGATATTTGTTATCTTGAATGGAAGTTCCAAAGTCCAGCTTAGGGTCATAAATCTAAGCTGAAGAAGCCATTGTTCATGCTTGGCTTGACTTTTGGCATGCCCATCTGATACATGATAGAAATGGGGCATACATGGGCCGAGTTCGAGTAACTTGGACCTCTTGTATGCCATTAGCCCTTATTTGTTAGCTTTGGGAAAGAGCTTCACTGATTAATGAAAAGCGAAAACTGAAACATTTTCAATCTTTGGTTAACCAAGATCAAAAGATCAAAAGGGCATTTATGGAGCAAATTTAAATACATATAGAACTGGTTGCTTCCCTTTTTACAGTACTCCATATATATTCTGATTAGTTCCTTACCTTTAAAATACAATTTGGGTAAATTAGCCTTTCCAGTATTGATACTAGTTCATCCGAGATCATTAGAACATCTAAATGTCATGTTGATTCAACAGAATTGTTCATTCTTCATGGATTGCCTACTTGTAGGATATCATTTGACTGTCATCATATTTGTGCATATATCATTCTTTACTAGTTTTTCTACTTGTAGTTTTGTGCAGCTTATGTCTTCGATCTGTATGCAAACATGCATCGCGTTGTTGAAACGTGACTTCTGACTAGAGTTGTAACTATCTTCTATTTATTTTGAACAGATATGCTATGCATGAATTGGGGCTTTCCTCGAGGAAACCTCACAAGAAATGTGCAAGAGTTGTTGGCGAGGTTGTGGTCAATCTATATTGAGTTCGTTTCTCTTGCTATATCGATATTTACGGGCCATGATGCATTTATATCATCATTGTGTTTGTTTTCCCTTTCTGAATTTCCCTTTTGTTTTGCTTGCTTTAATTGCAGGTGCTTGGTAAATTCCATCCTCATGGAGACAATGCTGTGTACGATTCGCTGGTTCGAATGGCTCAGGTACTATTCCAATTTGAAAGATTTCACAATTGACTGAATCGGATCTTTACCCAATAAGAAGCAATCGTTTAAAATCTTGATAATTCAAAAGCAGATAATTATAGATTTTGTAAAATTGTTCCTTGGCAATTTTATGAATTCAGTTTACTATCAATATCCTCGAGTATAATAAATACGGTATTTTGGGGAGAGGGCCTGATTTTTTGCAGTCTTGTTAACAACATCTGTATATGCCCTCTCACTTCGATGTCAAATTGATGAATAATTTGTTATCACAAAAGAACCAGAAGAATGTATTCTCCTACTTCTCTCTCTCTCTCTCTCTCTCTCTCTCTCTCTGTGTTGTGGTTGGATGATGGATTTCATTCATTTGTTATTCTCTGCAATTTTAATCCACACTTCTCAGGATTTCTCCTTGCGCTTCCCACTCATTCAAGGGCATGGGAATTTTGGCTCAATTGATGCAGATCCTCCCGCAGCAATGCGCTACACAGAATGCAGACTGAGGGTAGGTTGATATAAATTCATTCTATTGGCTGTGTTAATGCTAATCTTTTGATCTTGTCTGTCAAAACTTTATTGCTTAGAAAGATAACAAGTGGTGCAGGGGAAGAAATTACACAGACGTACAACAAGATAACTGAAGTGAAAGAGAAATAATTTCGAAAACAAATATGCTTATAGGATTTAGGAAGATTCAATGCAGCTCCAAATATATTTTACTGAAAAAGATGATAATGTATCTATTTTGCCCTCATTGAGGAAAAGACAAAAATATCACCAACAGCGCTGATAAAAGACAATGCCACAATATCTGCTAGTTTAAATAAAATCAAAAGGAACATGCGGCAACCCCTAATCCCCCCTTCCTTTTCCCCTAAAAATCCTTATTAACATATTCTGAAACAAAATTTAAATCTAAGACTACAGTGGCCTTGCAAAGAGCTTTACTAGGCCTTCTAATTTTTCCTGCATTTTTTTTCACCCCTAGTACTGAGGAAACTAGTCCTTGACTTCCATTTTTCCACAGCCAACAGGATGCACAAACAGTTCTTAAGATCTTTCTTCTTTCCGTTTTAACTTCCTTGGTTGTTCAAGTTGTGCAGTGATTGTCTTCACATTGATCTCCTCCAATTCCTAAATCAGAATCAGCTATCATCCAGTGATTTGGTATGAGGAAGCAATTGAAGAGCTCTTCAAAAGATTTCTGATAACAAAGTGTGGTAGTTATAAGGAGGATAGGCTTCTAGGGTTTTATGAAGATCTAAGAGTGCTCAATTGTCATATTTAACTCCAAAAAAAAAAAAAAAAGTATAAAA